ATTAAAATAAAAGGACTGTACTTAAGAAGTATTTGTATTTCATGAATTATATTATTGCATTTGGCTGCAGCCCTCAGATTTTCATTTTGAGGAAAAGTTTTGGGCACTCTAAATTTAACATCAATTCATTATTTTAATACAATATAGTCATTTCTGCAGTTTTTGTGAAGGTCACCTCCTAATAAATGTCCTTACAGAAAATCTAACTGCTCAGTTATATCAAGTACAAAAAATATCAGATACTTTAAGACTTTGCTCAAGTAATATTCCTAAAGGAGACTTTAACTTTTACCAAATAAWTTTTTTGATATGATACTTGTACTTTTACTYAAGTATCACTTTGTGGTACTTTATACAACACTGTTTAGAAGACATCTTGTGCTATAAGTGCACGCTCTCTGCTGTGACTCAAACAGGAAAGCATCATAATGATGTTGAGACATTTTGATTAGACAAATCCTTCGTATGTTCATGCATTAAAATTCCATTTAGACTTTCATAGAAAATTAGACACTTCAGCCTAGTTTAAAGAAAAAAGTTGAACAGAAGTTTAATCTTAACTGCAGCATGTCTTTTCTGCCCACTGCCAATCCAGTTGGAGAACAGCAGAGCCTCTGAGCTCGTGTTGTGAGACACGTGACGGCCGTGTGTCGCTGATCCTTTAATCTTTGCTTTCTGTTCAATGTCATGTTGCCACACCAGCTGTGTTTCAACTGATTATTCTCCTGTAGTCAAGGTGTTAATTGAACTCATACTTGTTGTTTTTATTTATTTATTTTTTTGGTTTGTACAGTTTTTGCAATCTAAATAATTCTGTTCAGGTTTCCTGCAGATCCTTAAAAAGTCTCGAAAGACATTGAATTCATCAATCCAAAAATAAGGCCATAATTTGATTTTGATTTATTTATTTAACAGGAAAAGATTACTAAAAATCAAGCCTGACTCAGCATAATTGCTGTTTTACAGCAGGTTCCTGTTCTGCAGCACAAAAAACACTCAGAATTACAGCATCACGATTACATCATTATATCACCATATATATGTATTAGCTCAGCGCTACAC